TGTGGAAACAAAAGATAATGCAAAGTGCTACAGCTAGTAATTGTTGAACTTCAAGGCTTAATAACATTCTGTTGATGAGTGTCACTTGTTTGAGCTACACCATGGGTTAATTTGACTGTCTGTGACTAAGTAGCATGACAAACAGACACACTGGAAAGTTAAGACTTTGCTGCAGATGTGATGATAAAAGGCTGCTTTCTAATAATTAGCACAAAGGCTTCAACAAAAAAAGTCATCCTGAACAGTGAAATACAATCTATTTAACATACAAATTGAATTGAGAAGTGATCTGTTTAACATACAATTAACTCGAGAAATTAGTGTAAGGAGAATAAAAAGAGGTTTAAAGATATGAATAAAAATTAATCCACGGTTACACTTAGTGGGATAAAATTGAGAGGACTATCCATCATTTTAACAATCTGGTGTCTGGAAGATACCTCTTCAATACTGTTTGAACCATATCCTAGCCTTTGATGATTAAGTATCTGGGCATTTGATGGGATGTGATTGCTTTCCTTGAAGCTTCCAGTCTTTGTCACATGAAAGAAATGAAACCAAAGTAGAACAGTCCTTGTCTCTTACTCTGTAAGAGCTGCCAGCTGATTAGCAGTCCCCTAATTTTTTTTTTTCTTTGAATGTGCAGACTCTTTCATGCTTAAATTTAATACTTATTGCTTCATGCTGTGCACCTTCAGCCTGTTGGAAGCAATTGGCAAATCATCACCTCTTTGTTTTATCTCCTGTAGCTTGGTTTCGGGAAGGGCTGAGCACCAGACTGATGCCATGTTACTGCAGCAGCTCAGTAAGGTTTGCAGTCTGAACGTGAAGCTGTTTTGTGTACAGTGACTCCAGAAGTGTTCTGCACGTGCAAGAACCTGCCCTTGAGGCAGTTCAGGCTGGGGTTCTGGCCTCTCTTCACCTAAAGGACAACAAAGACAAAGTTTCTTGGCTTTTCTGTGCCTTAAGATTTCCCAGTCTGTAAGATGGAGGTTATAAATACCCAGGTTCATAATCAACAGGTTGAAGGAATAGATTTATTGAATCAGTATAGGGTGTTATTTATATTTAAGATGTCAGGTACCATCTGAAATGTCTTGCTGACAAGACTTCTTGAGCTCTTTTTTTGTTTTGTTTCTTGAGAAAAGTGGCCAGTATAATTTGGGGAGATGGTGGGGATCACAGACCATAAAGGGCTTCTTACAGATGGAAAAGACTTTTCTGTGCATGTTGCTGTGAGAGTTTTGTGATGCTTGCTCTGTTCAGGAACTGCTAGCCCCTTTGCTGTTACTGTACAATGTTATAGCATCTGAATATCTCCACATCCTTGTGTGTGAGGTGAACAGAGAACATGGTTAGCACCTCTGTCACTGAGTTGCTAACAAAATGGGGCTGGTCTGCTCCATGCTTCTGGTGCAGGCTCTGGCCTTTGAATTGTACAGAGTTGGGTTGGTTTAGGTTATGCTTTTTCAAAAAAATAAATCATGCTGTATTGGCAACCACCCTGGCTCCTGCCATAGCTCCAGAATGGTTGGGCTTTCATGGAGTTTAGGGGGAGAACGAAGGAGAGCAGGGATTATTTTGACATCATGATGGGATCAGCTTAGCATGTAGCTTAACATCACAGCTAAGCTATATTAAAAAGCAGTGTCTGAGCTGGTAACATAACACACACTGATCTTAAATTAAAGAAGGGCCTGGTAGATGATGTGGATCCTCACCTCACTCTTACCCCTCAGCCCAACAAGTATCCAGTGCTGTTGCTTCAGGTTTTCAGTTTGTGTTTTTTCTCTTACTGAAGTAAAAATGTCCTGGGTCCAAGGTTGGCCTAGATATTTATCTCACTTGGTGGCTGGCCTTCTGTAAGTGACCACTGAAACTCTGTTTGAACTTCTGCTGTGTCTTTCCAGCCTCACTATTGATGATGCTCCCTTGTCCTCCTTAGGAGGTGGTCTTCTAGCAACCATGAAAAAGGAGAACTTGTTTTTTAGATGCTCCAGTTTGTGTTCTACTTGGTTATATCTAGGTATACACCTTGACTTCACTGTAAATGAGAAGTTCCATTTCCTAGGCTTTTAAGCAGAGTCACAGGGCAGGAGTTTTAAGAATCTTCTCTAACTGTAGAAGCATGTAAAATATAGTTTCATTTCTCAAATAGCAGCTGCCCTGTTAAGGAGTGCAGTTCTTAAAGTATGTGTTGAAAAAGTTGCAGTGTCCTTGTGACCTGTTTTCTTTCTTGTTGCTTTCCAGAGCTCTAAATAGAATTTGGTTTGTGATAGTGCAAGGAGAAATTTGCTCTTTGTATCCTTAAATGCAGCTTGTACGAGGCAATCTGCAAAGGAGAGGCTTTTGTAGGTGTGAAGTATGTGATCAGGCTTAGGAAAACAAGCTGTTTCTTGCCTCAGATTTGCTTACACAACTCTAACAACAATATATTTGATGCCAGATAAAATTGTAATTCCTTTGTAAGTCGAATTAATCAGTAACACTGTCTGAGGGAGTGTGATGGTGTAAGTGACTTCCAGAGCTTTCTAGAGGCTGCTGCACAGTCTTAGTTAAAATGAAAATAACATTATTTTTATGGCCTTACTCTAGCATGCTAAACAACTTTATACAGTGGCCTAAATAGAGGGAAAAAATTATTAGAGTTGAGAACTTAAAAAAAAATAAAACCCCAAACCAATGCCAACATGAAGAAAATCCCAAACTCCTTTGACTTCTTTATGCCAAGTGACTAATTCACAGGCAGAAGACAAGCCCCTTGCTATTGCAATCTACTTTCCAAATATTGTAGAAGCTTGAAAGTCTCATTGTGCTGTACAGGGAGGTGTATGAAACTCAAATGTCTGAGTTGCAGCATGAGCTGGGCCTTATACGGCTTCTTCTGAAATGTCTTCACAAGACGTTTGATCCTGTATTTTGTTTGGGGTTACATGTTTGGAGGTGAGGAGAAAATCCAGGTGTCACTCCAAAACTGACAGCTACTTTTAGATGTAGTTTGCTGTGACAGGTACTAAGTAGCTCCTGAAGCTGACACCTTCTTAAAAACAGCTTTTATTGTTATTTGTCACTTCTTTCTAGAAGACTGAATGGAAAGTCACATACGAGGAGCACTTTTACAAAGACTGTGAAGAATTCATGAAGAGTTGATCAGAATTAGCTTTAGTGTTCACTTGTAAAGCCTGAAAACTAGACTTCACTGTTCCTTTTCAGTACTTGTGAACTAGTTGAAATTCATGGAGAAGCAGTGCACTTCAGGTTGTTGTGAACTGATGTTTGCTTTGCGCACAGTCTGTTCCATCTGGATTAAAAAATCCTGACAAGATAATCCAATTGAGATCATAATCTTGTTTATAACTCTGGCCTTGCATCACAGGAAATGCATCAGTCTTTAAGTAAGCACTGGTTAAAAAAAAATAAAAGATTTGGATAAAAGAGGCCGTGGATGCCTCAAACATTGTTTTAAGATTGGAAATAACAAATTAGGGGTTTTTAACAAAGGTGCAGACTCAGGTAGAGGAGAAAATTCTAGAAAATCTAGTCCCAGAAGCAGGGACAAGAACCATGGTGCAGGGTCACTGTAGCCCCTGGGGCAGCTGGAAAAGGGGCTGTTTGTGGTGACTGGAGGTGAAGATGCTTTCCCTGGACTTCAGCAGCAGGAAGCAAGTGGGGTTTGGCTCAATGGGGAACCTGTCATCTGCTCCCATGAAGACAAAAGGGAAGCTGGTGTGTTAGAGCTCCTGTGGTGTTTTTTTCCTGGCTGGGGCTTCACAGGGAGGTTGTGCCTGGAGCAGTTGTAGCTTCTTGGCCAGAATGCTGATATCTGGTGTAAATGGTTAGATGTGATTGGTAAACATTGGTCTGTGGTAGATCTGCCCGTCTTGGCTTTATGCTGCCCTGGTACAGTGCAAACTGCACTGCCCTGCTGCTCTTCGTTCTGTTGTTGACTTGACTCAACCAGGGATGTTTCATTGACTCTGCAGCTGTTATTTTGAAGGAGTTTTGTCAGTTCTCAGTTTTGTTTCCAATTGCTACTGAATTTTCAGTTTGAGGTTTTTTTTTTTCCTAGTGAGCACAAATTTTATACTGGAGATGCAGATTCTCTGCCAAGGTGCAGGTTGTGTTACAGGAGCTTTCAGACACGCCATATTTTGGCAGGGACTGGTGATTTTGATTGTTGGTCATCTTTTTTGGTGAATTTTATATTCACCATACCTGTGGTCAGTCAAAAGCACTGCCAGGTAAGACATGTTCATGAACGTGTTTAACATGAGCTTGGTATGTGACCTCACATACCAAGTATGTGTTAACTGGTGGTGTACTCAATTGTTGCACCTCATTGTTTAACATGAGCTTGGTATGTGACCTCACGGTAACTGGTGGTGTACTCAATTGTTGCACCTCAGGTTCAGCCAGTTGCTGCCCACTCTTCAAACTACTACTCAATAATTTACCATCTTGGGGCTAAAGTTGAGATAGAAGTGCTGGTGAGGCATGTGCATGTACAGGTCCCCCTGTGCATCACAAGAATAAAGATCTCTTCCAAGAACTTTGATGTATTAGGTCACTATTGGCTTTAACAGGCAGAATGAAAATAAAGCTGCACATTCATTCAATGACGTTGGAGTCTCATCTCATCTCAAATCTGATGTACTAGTATCCAGGAAAGCTTTGGAGGTGGATTGATAGTTTGTAAATGAAGGAAGGTTAGCAGGAAGCTTTCCTTTTCCACTGATGTTTGTCCTATGGTCATGATTTTCAGAATGCATTGAACTTGGGAGCTCACAGAAGAAAACACAGAGCTCACAGAGAACCTTTATCATAGCTCTTGTACAGTTATGAAGAAAAAGTAAGGTGTAAGGGATAGTCTGAAAGATTCACACTTGAGCATAAGTCTGCTGTGACCCTGCCATGCATGTAGGACCTTTTTCAGTTTATGGGGCATATGGGTATATGTGTATTGTCTTCTAAAATTAAATCTTCTTGGCTCTTGTTTCTAGGGTCACATGATTCTTTCAGCTACTGGGTTGATGAGAAATCTCCTGTGGGACCAGACCAAGCTACAGCCATCAAACGTTTGGCCAGAATTTCTTTGGTTAAAAAGATCATGAAGAAATGGTCTGTGACTCAAAATCTGACTTTCAAAGAGCAGTTGGAAGGTGGGATCCGCTACTTTGATCTTCGTGTATCTTCCAAACCTGGGGAAATAGGACATGAGATTTACTTCATACACGGCTTGTTTGGCATCAAAGTATGGGATGGACTGAAGGAGATTAACACCTTTCTCGAGCAGCACCCCAAGGAAGTAGTCTTCTTGGATTTCAATCACTTCTACGCCATGGATGACAACCATCACTACTTCTTGATCAACAGAATCCGCTCAGCGTTTGGATCCAAACTTTGTTGCATTGAATTTGTAGAGTATGTGACGTTGGAGTACATGTGGGAGAAGAAACACCAGGTAGGAAAAGGATGTGTGATGTTTTTCAAACCTTGAAAGGTTAAGTTGTAAATAGAGGCTGGGTGTGGTTCCCACTCAGAGGTATTGGCCCAAGGATGCTGCCAGCCAATTTAAAGGTCACTAGGGCCTCCTTTATGTGGTGTGCATGTTGCCCTCCATTTGTTTGCAGATGTGTAGCCTCTCCATCCATGGTGTCACTAGACTGTGTCCTGCTCCCGAGCATGTTTTTTAAATAATTAAATTTAATTATCCTTCAGACCTTGTGCTCATTAAAAATTGTTTTCTTCTCTGGAAGAGCATTTTGTGCTGACTTGTGGTGGTGAGGCTTTGATTAACAGTTCTCTTGGCCACTGTGAAGCATAACAGCTTTAACATCACTAAGGTATCTACAGAATTTCTTAGCTCCTTTGCAGCCATACAGATCTATAGTGGCAGGTTTCAGTGCCTCTTCTCTGCAGTAACCACTCATGTGTACACACAAGCTGAGAGCAGGGTTCCAGCAACTGGTTGTAATTATTAAGCTGTAACAGGGGTGAGGCTTTGAGGAGTTCCTCTGAACTGATGCTGTCAGTGCTGGGGTCCAGAATGAATCATTTGTAAGTTTGGGTGTTAATAAAACGTGTTGCATCTTTATGTGCTGCCCTCTGATAAAGAACCACCTTACAAGACCTGAAAGACAGATCTCTGATTTAGAGAAGATTTTGCTGACAGCAAGAGTGGCTTTGGCATCTCCTGCAGTAAGTGTGAGTGGAATGCTGCCATGCCAGTCAGCCTGGTATGGTTTAGCCAATTAATAGGAATTATGCTCAAGATGGCAAGACAGCAAATTAAAATCCTTAAATTCAGGTACAGATGGTAGTGTTCTCTGACAGGGCTTTGAAAGCCTCTGAAGATAAATGCTTTGACATTTCAATATACTCCTGGCAACTTTTTTCAGTTTAAACTTCTGACCCTTAAAGCCTGGAGCAATCCTGTTCTCATAGCTAACCCAAGTGATCTCCATCTCCTTTGTTGGCAATAGTGCAACAAATTTACTGACACTCATGACTTGGGAGCAGGTTCTTTTTGCTTGGTCCTCTATGCTAGCTGTGGGAATACTCACAGAATCATACTACAGAAGCCTAAACCAATGCAATATCCTGTTTAAAGATAAATAGGGTAGTTGTGAATTTCTGTTTAGTTTTTCTCCTTTTTGTTTTGTTTAGGTTCTCATATTCTACCACTACCCTCTGTGTCAGGAATACCCTTTCCTGTGGCCAGGGAATAAAATACCAGCACCGTGGGCTAATACAACCAACGTGCACAAATTGTTACAGTTCCTGGAGACCACTCTTGAGGAGAGAAGTCGTTATGGGACTTTTCATGTTTCTCAAGCAATTCTCACACCTCGAGTGAAAACTATTGCACAGCATCTAACTCGCGGTCTGAAGAACACACTTGTTCATAGGTAAGGACTTGTCTTGATTTCTCAGTTCTTTACCTACCACGTTTCATGTTGAAAGAGGCCCTGAGTAAGCAAGGAACTATGAAATGCTTGCCTAGAAGTAAGGCTTGATGAAAGCATGCAGTCTTGCTTCATTACCATTGCTTGTGAAAGATATTCGCAGTCACTAAAAAGAAAGAATTATTGAAAATAATAAAGTAACAGGGTACACAAGTATAAATGTTTTTCCTGGTAATTGGAACTCTTTCTGAATGTGATGTGATTTCATAAAACATGGGCTGGACCTGTTGTTTCAAACCAGTAATTCACTCCAAATTGACTGAATTTGAATTTAGGGGGAGGGAACTTGTACCACAGAGAAAAATTACATATTTGTGGGCTCAGTTTTGCATTTGTCTGTACAAATATGTCTTGGTTATTTCAGTAATGGCCAAAAATATGACCTGGGGAAGTATTTTATCTTGGAGTGTTTTATTACCAAAAATTAGATTAACAATTTGACCTTTTTTTTAATACCACTGGCTGTTATACAATTTGCTGATGAGTGAGACCATTAGAAGAGGGTTTTGCTTGGAGTTGCGGAGTGCCAGCAGTTTTTAAGTGTCAATAGCATGACCAGGATAGATTCCATGTGATTTTATTTTATGGCATTATCATCTTGTAGCCTGTTTGATAAAAATTGCCAGAACTGTAACAGTCCTGGATCTGGTCTCCTGGCTCACTGTTTAATATGACCTGTTTTGATATCACTAACAGTTTATCTTGCCATCATGATATTAAGTTTTTAATTACACTTGCATAGGTGGTCATAACTGGTCTAATTTGATTAGCAGCTGAGCTTAATGTTAAGCAGTGAAATACACATCTTCAGCAGACAGTTCATCTTCCCTTTGGAAGAATCATTGGTCACTTTAGAAGTAATTGGAGTGTCTTCATTTTGAAACCAAAGTTAATATAACTATTTTCTTAAAATTCTAAAAATAGGAAATGTTTGTGCTTTTGCAGTCATGAAAGTTGTTGATGGAAGTAAGGAAATTCCAGGTGAAGTATTAATCAGAGTTCTCTGTCTCCTTCCTGTTTACAGACATTAATCTAGCAAAAGATAATTAGATGGAAATTATGTTTGTCACAGTATCTTTAGGTCTCCACTCTGGCTTGTGCTTTGTTCGTGGCTGTGCAGTTAGCATTAGGCACTAGATGGTGCTCAGGTGCCTTCAGACTGGTGTTTGCTGTCACAAACTGCACAAAAACAAATATATGTGCTTGGTGGGGATACCTAACAGAGAGCACGGATGGAACCTGTGTCTGTATGCTGTATAATAAATGTACTGTTGTCTCATGATTAAAGGAAAGATCCTACTGAATTGCTATTTTTAAACTCCGAAAGGATCATCTAATTTCATGGAATAGATGAGCAGTTTTATTTCAGGTGACTCCTGATGCAGATCTGGGCTGTAAGCCACTAGTAGACTGGAAGCCTTTGCTCCATCCCTTTCCCTCAGGCCAACCATTACCACTTGTTTGGAAGTAAACTGTGAAAATATAAAATAGATGCCACTGTTTGTTAAAGCATGGTAGTTCTTATATATTGATATATGCTAGCTGGTTTGCATGTGTAAATCTGTCTTTGCAGTTCTGTGAAGCTGGCTGCCTTCTCATATGGAAATTTTACCCTCAATATGAATATTTGAGTGTTCTTGAGTTCTTACTAGAGGAGAAATGTGCAACATTCACACTTAGCTGTCTAAAGTCTGATATGTCCCTTGACAGGGACAGTGATTATGCCTTCCCTCAAGTTCTCTTCTTAGTCCTTGACTTTTTGTTTTCTTGGAACAAGAGCTGTGGGGTGTTTTTAGATCATTTTTTTTGGTTGTTTTTTCTTCCCCATCCTGTTAGCTAATTTGCTTGCCTCCCATCTTCTCGTGTAATTTTCTACACTTATTATGGCACTAATTTAAATAATTCTAATATATCTAGTTGTTTGTCTCTAAATGTGCTGAAAACCCTGATGTTTGCATGTTAGAGTGCAAAAAAAGCTTGTGCAGACTCCTGACTTGCAGTCTGTCCAAGAAATTACTTGAAACTTCTCCCCATGGTACAATTTCTACCTCTGTTTAACTCGGTTCCTGACACACCTCATCTTTCTCTGGTGACGGTGATGTATGGTGGGATGTTCAACCCCTAGAGAGTTGAGGGCTTGATTTTGGATTTGCTATCCCTGATCCCATTGCTCTGGGTGGGTCTGGAGGCTGAAAGGAGCTTGGTGGAAATGCAGTGTGCTTCCCCCAACAACTTCTTTCTTACCCCTACCTGAAGGCAGAGGCAGACAGGAGAACATCTTGGAGCAGATATAGCCTTTTCTAGGCTGAAATCTACTGTGAAATTAAACTTTTGGTTCAACTTGGGTAAAAACAACCCAGGATGGAAGAAATCGTAGTGCAGCATTAAATCCTGAAGCACAGTCTGCTTAGTGAATATAAAGCTCACAAATGTTATTTGATATGTGTGGTAGTTTGGGTTGATGACTGACCAGTATTTCTATTTGATGGCTAATGTCTGCAAGCTATGTTAAACACTCTTCTCATCAACCAGTTGCATTTTGGGTGGCAGTCAGGACCTGATCACAAATGTGAGATAATATAATTTATAAAAAACATGTTGTGTTTGCAGTGAGTATGTATAGAGAAGAGTCTCTTTAAGATGTTTAATTTGTTTTATTTCAATTTTTTTTAGGAACCTGCCCATGATTTTGAATTGGGTGAAAGCACAGAAGCCAGGTGTGAGGGGTGTTAACATCATTACATCAGATTTTGTGGAGCTGGTTGACTTTGCTGCTACAGTTATTGCATTAAATGACCTCCTTTTAGAAGAGGATGAACCTCCAGCTAAATCCTGATTGCTGTGTCCCACTTGTGCTCTTCAGTGGATGTCTTCAAACTACGCTAAATGTTTTATTTATTCAATGAAACCTATTGTAATCTATGTTTATTTAAAAAAAAAAGCTTTCTAGAGGAAGCATGGTAAAACATCACATACAGGTGGGTCCCTGATCCCAGGGATGTGTGGATCTGAGTGGAACAAAGTGCTGTTGGGTGTCTGTCTGTCTGTGGCTACGTGTTTGACTAAGCTATGCACACATCTGCTGTTGCCTGCCTGCCAGCAAGAGGCTGCCCTCCAGAGCAGATGTACCCGCTTATGGTGCGTGTCTCCCTGGTGACTGGACTCACCGTGCCCTCCTGTGCACGTCCCGATTATTTCTCGACTCCAGGGCTCAAACCAAGGCTTGCTGCTGATCCCTTAGCAGCAGTGTGACCAGGCTGGTGGAGATGGTTTTGTTCTTGGGCCACCTCAGGCGTAGCTGGGCTCAGCTGGAGGCTGCTGCTGTATTCATGACACTGTTTTAGACACTACCTCCGACTTACTTGAAATAATATTGCTGCTGTTCAAGGCAAAGCTGTTACACTGTGGTGAATATCTGAACTGTCCTTTGGGCCTGAGAGGTGAAGGCTTGGTGTGCTTTACCTCTTTGGACTCCAAACTCTTCTTCTGGACCTCTTTATTTTACTTTAATACATTTATTACAACCGTGTTTAAGTGTGTTTGTTTTGGCATTAATTTGGAGAATATTTCAGTCTTCAAATGATGTCTGTTCAAATTCAAGTCTGGATTTCTGTTGAGACATTTCAGAAAACACAGTTTTCGAGTTTTCTTTGAGGAAGGTCTCTCACCCAGATGGCCTTTCTCTGGAAGGAGGTGGGCTAAGTGGGAGCTTGCTTGGTATTCAAAGAACTGGAGCTGACAGGGACTGCTCAAAACCCAAATATTGAATCTGTGATTTGCAATGTGATGGTGAATTCTGAAATTGAATCCAAAAGCTGTGCTTGTAGTCAGAGAGCCACAGTTATGGGGGAGATGTTTCCCGAGCTTCCACCTGCTTGTGACAAATTAAGCAATAGTCATCCAAGCACAGGCAGGCATCAGTGTTGATTCTTTCTGTAGTCATACTCATTTTTGTGTTGATTCACAATAAAATGTGACCATGCCTGCTTGAGTCAATGCAGTCACATGTTGATACTTATTAAATTGCCTAGCTGATAGCAGTCCTACAGTCTGATTTATCTTTGGTTTAAAAGAAAAACAACAAAACCAAACTGCACAAAAGTGACTGATTAGCAGATACTTCTCTGCTCAGTCATCTTCCTAAAGCAACTGTAGGTGCATTAATCATTCAATGGTTATGAATTTGTATTAACCTTTAAGCTATTTACAATAGAATGGCTCATCTTCATAGATAATTTATTCAAAGAAAAGTGAATCTCCAGATTTATTATTTATTTTGTTGTCATATCCTGTGTCTATCATCATGGTCCAACAGTCCAGAAAAATCCCAAACCTCTTTGCTTGCTTCTCACAACCTCTGAACTCAGGACAAGTTTATCTAAAGGTTTGCAAACCTTCTGTTTGAACCTTGGCTGAGTTCTGAGCAGACTGTAATCTGACTTATCTGTTTGTTGCATGGTTTTCATTAGAGTTCTTTGAATTTTTTGTAACTGAATCCTTTTTCTAAGGGAGTTGGGGATGGGGGGGATGTCTGTCTCTCAAGCTGTCTTTCTCCTTCCTTTGTGTTTCAGTGATGGGGAGCAAGTCATGAAAATCAGTTTTTGGGAACTAAAGCTGAAATTTTCTAGTTTAAAACTTCTTTGAAAACCCCAGCAGAAGGTTTTTATTAGTTTTGGGATTTTTTTTCTTGTTGATGAAACTGTTGGAACCTGTTTTGAACAGCACTACTTTGTTTGCAAAGTTATTTAAAATACTTGGACTTTCCTTAGCTGAATTTTGTGTTAACCTACTTTTCTCGTGGCCCTGACTGAAACTCCATGATAGTGTTAAACATGGGTTTGGTTTCAGTGGTCTTTTAGCTGCAAATTGTCTTAGAGCTCAGAACTCTGAAAACCTTGGTGTGAATGCTGATGAGGCAGAAATAATAAGGTTTCCTGCAGAACTGGAGAATAAGACAAGAAGGTGAAGTGAGTATTATGTTTGCATTTGGCACTTAATATATTTTGTACTGTATGTATCTACCTCAAAAGAGATTTATCAGGCTTAACCAATGTTTATGTTGTGCAGGCACAGTAATGACTGTGGTGTTAGTCCTTCTGTTGTATTTAATTGAGTTGAGATGTGATGGTTGTAACTCAGGGCTTTCGTTAGATATTTTTAAGTACAAACTCAGAAGTTTTTCTAATGTATTTGCTGTTAGCTCTTGCCTCTTGAGATAGGAAGATAGGACAAAGGCATGCTAGGTGTTAATAGTGTTAGCAGAGGGAGAAGACATACTGTTAGCTCTTGCCTCTTGAGATAAGACAAAGGCATGCTAAGTGTTAATAGTGTTAGCAGAGGGAGAAGACATGGAAAATTGTTTCAGGATTGATGATGAAGGGGGAGAGGGGAGGAAACCCCAACATTTCTGTAAGTTTGGCCTGTCTGAAGAGACTTGTGTCGTTTCAGAGCAGTGCTTGGTGTTACGCCTCTGAAGAACCTGACAGCCTCAGTAGTGAGTTGGGCAGTTGGCAGATAGCTGCCTGCAACGGGGTGTCTTCTGTGGATGCTCTGGGCAGTGTTAATGTTCATGTTTAGAACTGGCTTTAGGGTAGCCCTAAACCATCCTAAGCAATATGAACTATCTTTTTGTTATATATTATAGCCCATACCAAAGCTGCCCCTATAATATCTCTAATCTCTCTGTCAGCACCACAGCATTTCCAGATTCCTTCACACTTTGCACAACAGAGCTTGTCTAGACTTGGACTTTGGGCTGCAGAGTCTGTTTTCCAGCATTGTAAAAAATAAGGAGGTGAGCTGGGCAGGAAGGGTGGATCAAGGAAGTAGAGCAGTGGTTTGCATCCAGTGCCCGCATTGAAGGTGTGGCAGCATTTAGCCAGGTCGCAGGAAACACAGTGGAGCAGGTCTGGCAGGTGAGTGACAGTGGCTGCAGCTCATACTGAGAAGCCTGGGTGAGAGTCTAGTCTGAGCAGGCTGCAGCTGGACAGGGTATGGAGCAGCTAAGAGCCTGCAAGGTCATGTACACATGAGCTTGAGGAAAATAAAGATTGGCATGAGTGCAGGAGAAGGCTGAGGGTTCCTTGATGCTGATGTAGACCTGCATTTGTTGAATACAGAGATTCTCTGACTCCTCTATCTTCCCAAAGCAGTAGGGTTCACTTCTAAACAGTTTAGGTGGAAAACTCCCCCAATAGAATTGTTCTGAGGACTTTTCCATTCTGTAGGTGCTGGGAGAGGAAAAGCCAGGAAACTAGTAGCTGCTTGAGGCAAAATACTTACTTGAGTTGCATATTCTTGAATAATTACTTGTATGGTTTGTTATTACAGATTCAGGTTACTTGTATGTTGTGTTTTGACTGTTGTTTCTCTTCTTAATGTGCAATCACTGAATGCTGAGCTCCCTGGTGGTGTGGCTGTTCTCCTGGCACTGATTGCTGCCGTGTGCAATTCAAGGGCACACCTGAGGCACAGGAGACACATTTCTGTCTGTATCCCTGATGGGGAGCACCAGGGAGAAAGTTGTTAGGAAGCAGATACAAGTTTTCAGCATCATACTGTGTGCTTGTAGGTGAAAACAAATAGGAGCTATTACTAGATTTTGCAGATTATCAGTTGCTCAACTCCTTATTTGGGAACTACTGTCCTAAATATATTTAACAAGTGTGGAGCTGGGAGTTGTAATGATGTTTTTGAGGACAAAAGACAGATCTCGAGACCTGAATGGATACCAAGGCAAGTTTCAGGGGTGCTATGGTCAGTGAAGAGATGTCAGACTGGGAGTCTTCAGACAAGAAATACTGATTGCTAAAAGGCCCTTAGTCTGCTAAACAGGCTCTTTGGGAAAGTAAGGAATAATGGGAAAATGGTATCGTTGCTCCTGACATATGCTGCTTTCTGTTGTGTTGGTACCGAATTAACATGTTGGAGTTTAAAAACACCTGTGCTGTAAAGCTGAAGAAGCACTTTGGAGCTGGGGTTTTGGCTCAGACAGAAGTAGGGCATCTGCCAAGATGCTTATCTGTTGTTCTCATCTTGGCTAAGCCTTTGGAAGTATTTTCTTTGTGTACCTGTCTCAGGTGTCAGAGTTAATTGTTGTATCATGTAGCAGACTAGGTTTTAGGATCTCTATAGGTAAAGAGAGGACATGGCCATTTTGATTTAAAAGTGGGTTACCTGTGGAAGTATGACGGAGCATGTGTGACTTGAGGTTTCCTTAAATATGCAATATTTACCACATCTGTATGTAGTTTTAGTAAGACTTTCATCTAGACTTGACCATGTTGTTACCTGCCCCTAATAATCAAAGTCTTCGGTCAGAGGACCACTGTTGGAGACAAAACGTAAATATAATCACAAACAAAATATAATCAAAACATAAATAATCACAACAGGGATTATTTAAGCACAGGGAAACTGTCTAATGCAAGGAACAGAACTGACCCAAAACTTCATTCCAAATTCAGATCAAGTCAGGGTGGAGTTCTTTCAGCAGTGGAGAATAAGATTTTTTTTTTTTATTTTTTGCTTTTCTGTGTCTGACAAATTCTCGTTCCAGCTTTGGTTTTTGACTGAACAGATGGGTAGAAGAACCAGAGCATATGTTGAAGAGCAGATAAATTTTATGCTAAGGACATATACGTTGGGCTAACTGGCAAGAGTATAGTGATTTACTTAGTCACACCTTTCAGTGATAATCCTATTAACTGTTTGGTTTAGGCTGTTAAGTTGGTCTCTATTTTTTATTTAATCCCATTGATTCAATATGTCTGTCTTACTGAAGAAATGTGTATATTTCTGTAAGTGTATTTATTTCTCTACAAGTCTTAGCAAGTA